TAGGGCCGCTACGAGGTGTGTGTGCCAGCGCGCCCAGAAGAGCCACGCTAGTGTGCGCAGCAGGTCTCGCTTTCGTCGGCGGCCGTGCCGCAGAGTCGGGATGGGGGTATCGTGAAGAACGGGGTATCCGTAGTAGGGGCTGTGCTGTGGGGCTGGGCGCGATGGGGGGACTCCCATCCTAGGAATTTCAGGATCTGCCGCCTCTGAGTCCGATAGGGTGTCTACGCTTTTGTCCGCAGGGCCGGCGTCGGCGTTAGCATCGAATTGAGGACCAATTCCATCCGCAGTCTCGAGGGAAGTCCGCAAAAGATCCTCCAGTTCAGAAGACGGAGGCAAGAGACCACCGAAATCTCCATACGAGAGGTGAGCTTCCAGTCGGCGTAAGGCAAGAAGAATTTACCAGATGGGAGACATTCTGGCGGCAAGTAGTCCAGGAGCTCTTCGCGGCTGGGGAAGAAGATACGTGAACGCGCTCTCGGGGGCAGGAGCCGTCTGATAAACATAGTCAGAAAAAGGGTGACACGATGCCGCTCATGAGAACACATGCTTCGCGAAGTTCCATGCTCCGGAGAAGGACCATGCGTAGTTGAGCACAAAGACTGCGTGATGCGATCCATCAGTCGGAAGGTAACCACATGTACGAGGCGCGCTACAGGTACTAGTGGCAGAGACACTCACCCGCCGCGATCATGCCAGGAAACGCGGGCAAAATTTGCTGCGCGAATTTTGAGATGACATCCATCCGTCCCTATGTCCAGGCGGTGAATTCAAACGCCTGGTTTCTGAAAGATTACATGGACGTACAGCGCTGGTGATTGACACGCCTTCCATGTCCAACAGGGCAATGTACTGCAGGACAGGTGGCTCCCTGACATCGCACTTGGAGTTGAGCTGATGGAGGCGCACGCGCAAGGATTCCATAGAGGTATTCAAAATAGACGGAAGCTCGGGTGACGAGAGTTGCAGCCCCTTTGGCCTTATGACGATGATTGGTCGACCGAAAGAATCAACTGAGCTGAGTGGGAGACAGCGTAGGAACTGCGCGACATCCGTTCGTGGCCGAGATATGGGGCTCAGGCGGCCGAGCATGATGCGCCGGATATCTTCAAGAGCCAACGATGCGACGAACTTGTGGCGCTATGATTCGAAGTCAGTTGGGGCGAAGTAGAACCGGGCAAGCAACTCTCTTACCTTCAAAACGCGAAATATAGAGGCTTCGACACGTCAGTAACCACACCTCAACCACAGTTCGTACTCACGGATGTCTGCTGCCCAGTCCACAAAATTTTGTCGACCGCGCTCATCGATTCCAAGCTCAGCGACCATGTCTGGTATGACATGGTCAAGCAGGAGATCGTGCAAATCCAATACGGTGTTGAGTTCTTTGCGATACAGCTCATCTAGCTTCTCCTTTTCGCAGCGCAAACCATCGTAGACCTTCATGTGTCTGGCCTATCCCGTTCAACTTCGTTGGAGTCGAGGTCAACTCGCTGCTGCCTGCAGCGACTTGGAGAGTTGAGTGGCACGTTGGAGGCATGTGATTCGGACGCGCCGAGCGCTCGTACGCGTCTGCTGCTGTCACGAGATACGCGTCGAGGCGAGTTGTTTTCCACTGGCTCGTCCTCCCAGTCCAACACTCTAAACACATTCACTGCTAGATCCTGCTCCCGTCCAGGCGATCTGAGCTCAGAGAAGATGTCTTCAGATGACCTGATTGCGTGGTTCAAGTCCAGAAATGGTACTGTCGACACATCGTCGATGGGATTTGCAGAATACCCTGCTTGCGGCCGCGGCGCCGTCGCTCTGAAGGACATACCTGTAAGTCGTACGCATCGCAGTACGAGTCAATTTACCTATGTGAAGTGATGCAGCAGGGGCATGTCCTGTTCACCATCCCGCGCGACGTTACACTGTCTACGCGTACATCCTCTCTCCCCTCCCTGTTCGGCATGGAGGCGTGGAAACGGCTCGGATTGGACAAGGGTTGGGCGGGTCTGATTCTTTGCATGATGTGGGAGGAAGCACAGGGAAGCGTATCAAGGTGGTCCGCGTATCTCTGTAAGTCGTGAGCGACGAACTGCATAACCATAAGTGATGCATTGATATATTCCCGCTAGCTTCCCTGCCTTCAGCGTTCGATACGCCCATGTTCTGGCCCGATGATGATATAAAAGAGCTCGCGGGGACTGCAGTGGTAGGTTCGTCTTCGATTACTCTCGTCACCCCCAGCGCGCTAACGCTCCAGTTCCCTGGCGTTCCACAGACAAGATAGGCAAGGAGGAAGCCGAGCGAGATTACGCGGAGAAAGTAATTCCTGCTATACAGGTGGTTACAGTTATTCACGATGCTTTTGCTTCGATTCTGACATTGCATGCTCAGGGTCGTCCCGAGCTATTCCCTGAGGGTGCCCGCCAGCTTCATTATTCGCTAGAACGATACCATATCATGGGAAGTCGCATTCTGTCTCGTAGCTTCCACGTCGAGCCATGGTCTGGTGACGAGGAGCACGATGAAGCGGCCGAGGATAGCGACCCAGAAGGTCAGGCCATGGACGTGGACCAACAAGAAGATACACAAGGCGAAACTGCGATCGGAGACACTGAGAGGCCGCCAGACGACACGTTAGAGGTTGACTCAGAAGACTCAGACGATGAGGGCGCTGAGGATTCCGCCGTCGTCGCAATGGTGCCCATGGCAGACATGCTCAATGCTCGTTATGAGTCGGAGAACGTAAGCATCGATGTTATCCTCGAATCGTGCAGCGCGTCCGCTGATGTTGCCTCTTAGGCCAAGCTGTTCCATGAGGCTAAGGATCTGCGCATGGTCACTACGAAGCCTATCAAAGCTGGGGAACAGATCGTAAGTACCACGTCGACTTCGTCTTTAGCGACTGAAGGTATCAATTCCATCTCAGTGGAATACATACGGAGACCTACCAAACTCGGATCTGCTTCGCCGATATGGTCATGTTGACCTTGTTCCGGTTCCGCAGCCCCTTGGTGGCCTTGGTAATCCTGCAGACGTAGTCGAAATCCGTGGCGACTTGGCAGTTGCGGCCGTTACGGATGGCCAATCTACATCTTTGGGCGAACGGGTCGACTGGTGGCTCGAAAACGCCGACGATGAGTTGAGTGTTTCACAGTCTATCGTTACCAAGAAGCTCACGATGTCCCCTGCGGCAGCACTTTTGTGATTGGGACAGATTGCGAGCTTCCAGAAGACCTCGTGTCTTTTGTGCGCCTCCTGCTGATGCCCCTTGACGAGTGGGGGAAGACGAGCGGGAAGGCAAAACTTCCGAAACCAAAAGTCGATCTCGGCGTGCTCACCGTTATTGAGAAGACGCTGGCAAGACGCATGCAGGATTATCCAAACAGTCTCGTGGTATGCCTTCATGTGCCTTGACCTTTTATGCTTGCTCATGAGCATCAGGAGGACGAGCAGCTCCTTGAGTCTGCGAATGACGGTCTCTCGCTTAATAGGAAGCACGCGATCATTGTTCGCATCGGCGAGCAGAGGATTCTACGAGGCACCCTGCACAAAGTGCGAGCGACAAAGGAGAGTATGAAGCCTGCGTCTTCGAACACGAAAGACAAAAAGCGGCCCCGGGAAGCGACAGACTCAAACCCGCATGGTAAAAGCAAGAAAAGTAGACGTTAGTCCATAACTGTCTTGTTTGTCGTCCTCAGTAGACAGGAGCGCGCGAGGTCGTGTCTAAGACGGGCGACCTCTGGTGCAGCCTGCGAATCCTCAAACATTCAGCCCTAGTACTCCAGTATGCGGTACGGATCTCATGTATTGTACACGATAGTTCTATCCCGGCTTGCTGATCCGCGTTGGATACGTTCGCGTTCAACCTGTCGAGACCAGATTAATGTCTATGCCGCTGGTGTACAACCACTAGTGTCTACAAACACCCGAGTCGACGGCCCCAACGAATTTGGTCTCGTACCCATCCGTGTGGACGCACCCCACCAGCGCTCCGACACGGTGCGTCCACACGGATGGGTACGAGACCAAACGAACTTGGCTCAGGTGCGATGCGTGCCGACGTCATTGAGTACTCGTTTCATTTACCCTGCTATTGCTGTCACAACCTTTCACTCGACTAGTAAGTTAACACACTTGTGGTGTTCAACACCGGAACCTCGTTCAACGACGTGTCATACCGTGCCGTAACGTCAACGAAGAAGCAAGTTCGCTTGGAGAAATGATAGTCTATAACATTATTACTCCAGTCCGGAATGATACTCAAGAAGCTCGGTGAATGACAGTTTGGTTCATGTCCGAGTCTCGAGAAGCCCATTAGTGCGTGCCCTCCATATGGCTCCATGTTTCTCTGGGATATTGAGGTGTACTCTCGAGATGTACACTGACAAGTGTCAGCACTGCATTCCTGAGTGTACTTACCTTCCAGCTCATTTAGTTGAGCAAACAACGGCGTAAAGATCGGCCATCGATGTCACGACGCAGTACGGTGCCATGGACCGTTCGAAGTGAGCAAGGAAGGTGCAACTAATAGCATGAATAATTGCGCCCGAGCGTCGCGGGTCGGCAGCACGATCCTGAGGTTGTCGGATATGTTGTCCTAACCATACGCCGCCGTCGCGGGACAGCTCGAATAATGTATCTACGGCACTGTCGATGGGTACATAAGTGCAACTCAGCGACGGACAAGGGGCGTCCATCAGCTACGATTCATGATATTGACCCCTGCAAAAGTGAGCGCCATGACCCCGGAAACCTGCCTACAACCAACCCACTTCTGAGCGCCCAAGTGCCGGCAACACTGAGTCGATGCTGAGTGACTTGCAGCAAGTTCCCTCCGTAGACACAGTACGACACTGACGAATACGTATTAATTCCAATCTATATACTAGGAGTTCAATATACAGCTTGTTGTAGTGTACTATCTACGAGAGAGAGAACAATAATTCACATATAAGTTGAACCAAATGTGATGCAAGTCCGAGACTTAGTACGACTCTACGAGTATAAGTAAGCTAGAGCTTAATGCGTTTGCTAGCACGACGTTCGACTGTAGCATCGCCAGGACGCTTGCTAGCGGTTGACATGCCGTCCTGCTGTGATTGTGCGTCGGCCTCTGCGTCAGGGATAGGATAGATACGTGTTGCACTTGGGGCGATCGCTGTAAGCTCTCGCGGATCAATGTCAATCGACGCGATGAAAGCTTTGCTGAGGCCTTTCGTGCGACGTGTTCCTGCTTCCCAGTTCCGTGGGTGTTTATCTTGAATATGATTGAATATGTTGTACTTCCAGAATGTTGGTTTCTTCTTCGTTGTGGGATCCGTTTCGCAAAGATCGCAATGCAGAGGGACATTGGTCGATGGCATGCGTGCCGAGTACTTCTTCGCAGGAGCCAGGTTGAATTTGTGTGCGTGTGGACAGTTTGATGCCGGCTGATATGACGAGCTCGTCTTCAAAAGGTCTATATTACACCCGGTTCGTCCGCAGAAACCGCACGGGTACACCGAATGAATCTGGAGATTGCTGATAGTCAGTCGAAGGCTCTTACTGAAGTGCTCAGCAGCCCGACTCACCTGTTCGCGCAAGTTTGCCTCTGGGACCTCAAGGATTGCACGCAATATGTGCTCGCCAACATGCGTTCGGCACATTTCAGGGGGGATAACACGGCCGCATTGATAACATTGGATGCGATTACCAGTTACGCCGCCTTCATTCTTCTCCGCGATCAAGCGCATGGCGCTGTCAACCAGAAATGGCGCATTTCCTGCCGTGTAGTCTCATTAGACCCTTGCTCTATTCCATCTTGGCATTATATTGATCACGTACCGTTGTTATCAAGATATGGGAAGCGCTTTGCGTCCGCAGGCCCGTATCTTGTGAGTCGGCTGACCAACGAGGCGGGATCGACTGACTTGAATAGGTTCGCAGTGAGCTCGTGAAGCGTTTTTTGATCGACAGAACATGTATGCAGTGCCCCACGGTCACTGAAGGCCTGGCGCTGTAGAGGGGGGAGTGACGCAATCGGCACAACAGCCATGTCAACAGGCTGAGAGAGAGAGCCAGGGACATGAACGGATAGGGAGTTGCGTGTTCCTTCATCTGTCTTCTGTGCGGTACGTGTTGCTGCTCCTGTATTCGCTGAGTGGAACCGAACAGAATCGCCAGTCCAAAGCCACCCGCAAGAAACCGCCATCGACGACCCGATGGGTGACCGTGAGTGGGACTGAGGCTCTGCCAATGAGCCGCCATCTCTGACGGCAATTCCCTGAGCGGGAGTAGTCTCAACAGGGCCCAAATCGTCACTTTCGGACTGCGGTATCATGGATAAGAGTTGTCCCGTCAACACGACAGCTGACGAGACATCCTCAAGGTCCGCCTCGCTGACTTGTGCGATACGACTCCCTTTCCTCTCGATACCCTTCACTTGCATGAAGCCAGCCGCCACGGAGTCAAGCGAACGGAATGGAGCTAGGACAGTGTCACCAACATTCACAACATCCTCTCCAGTCAGCTCCTCGTTCCGCATGGAGTATGCACGAAACACGCGTGGAAACCCTCGAACACGACGAAGGCGATCCACGGAGAGACGACCACCTGCTGGGTTGAAGAGGCCGCTCACAATAGATGACTTGTGGAGTTCCTTGGGGTTGTTTCCGTCCTCGCCAGGTACGCATAGCCAGTCTGAATCAGTTTCCTGCGACGTCTGGACATTGCCATTGGCATCCGGGCTTGATAGCAAGTCGCGCAGCTCCATGTTCACGAGGTCTGGGTCCACCGACTCAGACTCATGTTCAGCGGGCTCCATTCCCTGTGCATGGTTGGTGTCGACTGCTGGCCTGGCTTCAGAGCTAGCATCAACGGACCGATCAGGATCCGTCGAGACTCCCGGGTATGTGTCGCCTCGTGGCCGCATGAAATCGGTCTTGGGACATGATAGCTTGTCGGTGATGTTGACATGAACCCCTCGCGAGCGAAGAGCCTTGTCTGCGGCAATGAGGCCCGAGTGCCACACCGTCCCGAGATTAACGTTCCGCACCGTCATGTCGCCTGTGTAGAACCGCGGATTGACATGGTCCACACCTTCACGTCCTGTAAATGATCGCCGCCGCTGACCTCGGTTCCACTCTGGATGTCGATTGTAGATATCGACAATCTCAGCGGATATCGCAAGACGTTCGGCAAGCTGTGCCATATCGCAGTTCCTATCATGCGACTGCGTGTGCACCTCTGCGAATAGCTCTTCAAGCCTGTCGCTGCCGACTTGATACAGATAAAACGGTTGTGCGTCATCGAGAAGTTGCTGCCGTGCCACACAGACGTAGACCGCTTTGATCAGTGCCTGTATGTCACTGTAGAGTTGATTCGACAGGAATGCTGATCCGTGTTGCAGGTAGAGGGCGAAGGACATGTGCGCAAATTTTGACAGGTGGGTGAGTTGATCCGAAAGTGAGAGTAACGGGTCCATGAACGCGTCTAGGAGCGACTGCCACAGAGCTGCCTGAAGGCAGATAGCATGGTACGTGATTGTGTCTGTCGGTTTCAGGCCTGGAAGCTCTGATTCGGAGAGTTCAATGACAGCTCGCAAAAGCTTTATGGCGCGTGGTACATTTTGATGGTCTGCCGGATCTACCAGAATGTCGACGGATGTGTGGGTCTGATGGGGAAGCATCCGCAGGAAACGTGTGACAACCATACGGTTGATGATGACACTATTCAATACTGATCCGTCCATGCTCCGTACATGTGTCGCTGCCCCTGCAAGATACAAAATTACGAGGTGAACAGATGGTGCATATACAGCTCTCTTGGGTACGTACGTTTGATCAGATGCTTTGGGTCTGGAGCATGAACAACGTCACTCTTCCCGCAGCTTAGGTTGAGCCCTTTGAGATGGGATAGCTTCCGATACAGTGCACCAGAACGATCGAATTCGCGAACCATCAAGCGGTTGTAACACGCGCCCCGGAACGTCGAGGCACCATCGCATGAGAAGGTCCACATATTACCCCAGTCCTCAGCAGCGTGAGTGTCCCATTCATCTATGGACATGTCAATCATGTCACCGAATTCTTCAGCCTTCTCGGCTTTGCAAGATGCAGAGACCGCAATCGGGACAATATGGTAATTATCACCCCGGAACGGTGCCATGCCAAAGACAGTTGCATCTGACCCATAATGACACGTCGGTGAGTCGCCGTGCATCGCCTCCGCAACCTCGAGAACACAGCTAAAGTTTGACATCGACATATCGAGGCCACTGCAGTGCTCCCGACATGCGCCAACCATGCAGTCAATTGACTTCACCCATCGCATCCGGCGCTCGATAGCAATCCCGTCAGCGGACAAGGAGTAGCCGCATTTTGCTCTTGAGTGCGGCGCACCCGGTGGAAAGCGTGCATGAATGTTCCGGGTGAGCTCGGCGGGTCGCAGCTTTCCTGAGGATGGCTGAACGGGAGGTGTCTTGGCTAGGCGATGTAGCGATGACGAGGATGGTAAGCCAAGGTGCTTCTGAGCGGCGAACAATCCATTCCGCCCCGCATAATGTTCAATTAGCTTTGCAAGGTCGATATCGTCCTCGCTTTGACCTCGAGCGTGGTAGACGTGATCAAGAGCTTTGAAGAACCGTTCGACGATTTCCCGCGGGCCGCAGTTCTGCTTGAGAGCAATCCGAACAAGGTGATGTACGTTTTTGACGTCGTGTGTTGCGATAGCTTTGACTAAACGCTTCCAATCGTTCAACTTCTGGACAGTACGGTTTAGCTTCTTGATCCCGGCCTGCTCCTACAGTCATGCGAGTTGCTCGGTAAGTCCAGTGCAATTGAAGCATCCATATCTGCGAACTGACTCACCCTGGATCGGAGCTCGCTGATCTCTGTCGACTTAACATTCAATGCAGCCTCGGATTGCACCGAGTTTAGCCACGCGTACGGTGTGTGCGGTGTCCATGGCTGATTGGCCCTTTCAGCGAGCAAACGGAAGGCGCGGGACACCGGTACACGTAGACAGGGTGAGCAGGCTTCCTCGTCAACTAAAACCTCCTCTTCACAATCGTCGGACTGCATCCAGAGCTCTGTTCCGTTGTTCTTCAGTCCGCTGACGTGGAACCCAAGCTGTTCTCGGCGAATTTCCATGACTTGCCACGGGAATGTCTTCATCACCGGCCCCGCACTCCATTGCACGACGGTTCCTTCACAAGCTTTCGACATCGTCGCGCCGTCTGGATGGTCTGTATCTGTGTCGTAGTCATGGTCCCGCACTGACACTACAGCAGCAGGATTTGACTCCGGAGCGCGTGAGGGCTGGCATCGCGTCTCGTAGGGCATGGATGCGGGCGGTGGAGACGGTTCAGGGCGCTCTAGGTCTGATGCGATGATAGGATGAGGGAAATGTTCATTGCGTACGCTGTCCGCGAGCTCCTTTTCCTGTGCTGCTTGCTGTTTGCTCATCTCTTTCTTATGCCGCTTGCTCCGCAGATGCTGCTGCATGAAGTAATCTGTGTTGTCCGTGACCTGTACAGACAGACCACAAGTCTCGCAAGTTGTGTTGTAGTAGCCGCGGCGAGAGGGTGGGTCATTATGTGCTGTATGCTCGAAGTCGTCATGTTCATATGCTTGCAGGGATGTCATTTATGTAAGTCTGATGAATCCAATGATATACTCACCTTGCGAAATGTCGAGAGCAGGAAGCGGCGAGCCCAGAGCACCACTGGACTCGCATTCGACACCATTCATCTCTGCTGAATCTGTATCCTCATCCGACCCATCCTCCGAATCCCACCTCAAACCAACTCCTCGTGCGAGTCTCCTAATGCGTTCTTCATGGCTTTCAGGCGTTGAGGGTGGATACAAGTCCTCAGATGGGTAATCATGGAGCATGAGGTACTATTCTGCAATGTTGAGCTGTGTGGTTCGCGCAAGCGCGGTTCGTGTAGTCGCGTCGACGCGTCTTACGCATAGCGATGACATACGCGTTTATTACATACGCATATGTATTTCCATATACGGCCAGACTGCCCACAACTCGACATTCAGAACTATGTATACTCTGACTACCTCCTCAGTAGTCTTATAGGACTCCCACAATCCCATTACACAACCTTTCGTAGAGGAGAACTTGTGTTGTGACCGACTTCGACGAAAACTGTTCAGAAAAGTGGGTCTACCCTTATTATCGGGACCCCGGGAACCTGCCGGGGGGTTGGCTAGGGGGGGGTCGATATCGGGCGCTAGAGTTCTGGACGCCCCTTGGCGACGGAGGTAATAGACTCACCTCGGGCTTGGCCCGGGCATCTCGCGTAGCGTGGATAGGCGCCCGGGCGAGATCTACGTACTTAACCACAGTTAAGTTCTTCTCTCCAATCCGTCTCGCATCCCGATGTTGGACCCCTCGCTCCTTGCTATGTTTGCATCGCTACCTCCTGACCACCGATCGATGTCGACCTCATCAAGCATCTCAACAGAAGATGCTGATCCCTTATGGGAGAGCTTCAGTACCTGTGATACAATGCCCAGCACTGTCGACAGTGCGAGTGTTACAGATTCATTGACATCGGAGCAATGGGACATGATCCTCACACACGTCCACCCCTTTCTCTTATCCACGGCATCCGATCGGTGTATGAGGAAACCTTCGAGAGCACGCTGGTGATGCCTGCAAATACACAAGCCAATACGAAGGACAACCATCAGTCGACGTCGACGGTTGCAGCCGTAGTGGAATGTGTACTCACACATCATGCTTCTTATACCAGTCTTCGCCCACTAGCCATCTTCGGTACCAGGGGTACGACGAGCGATACGAGGGCATGCATGTCGCGGGCACCCCTTTGCCAGAGTATGCACCTGCCGGTGCTAGTCCAGACGACGCATCAATCACCGGTAGCTCGCTGGGGAGCGAAGCAATGGACCACGCTATAAACCACGCGGTGCTGGCCGTAGAGGGTTCTGTGCCTTATGCGGACTACGTCGAGGCTTGGAGGCAGGAGGCACAAATGTGGGCATTCTGGGACTTCAGGGAAACAGATGAGCCTGACGAGATGGACTCGCCTGTGGTGGTTGCCACCCCGCTCGACGTTCAAATGGCAATCCCCAAGGGCACTCCAGCTCCGCCCTTGGAGGGTAACGCAGCGGTCGACGTGGGGCCGGATTTGCCAACGTTGGCTGGAACTCCCGAGCTCTGCGGATTGGAGGACGAGACCAGTCGTTCGTTGATGAACGAGATCATAGACACCGCGATGGCTGAGTGGTCGACGAACAACCTCGACGCGGTCGTCCTCGATCACGAGCAAGACCAATGTGGAGATTAGTATGGAGAGGGGGTGGATGTAAAGCGAGGAGCTCCGAGTGAGCCGCAGGAGAGCTGCCAGAGGACCACAAGATTGCGCGAGACATTGGCCTGCAGACGGAGACACTCACACAGGCAAATAAATGCGCAGCCAGCGAACGAGAGCTTACTGACCAGGCGGACTAGTGCACAACCTTCGACCCGTTTTATTCGCTTCCGAGTCATCTCCTCCGTGGGTATGACGAACAGGTTCCATGTGCGTGACAACGGGTTTGTCCTCCAGCTAGCAGCACTGCCCGAGGCAAGAGGGGATGCCGGGTTCACGATCAGGCGTTGGGTCATGTATATCGAGGTAAGGTAAGTCAAAGGCAAGTTGCAAACATGGCAGTCAGGAGGGCGCCAGCCACGTCGGGACAGTCCGATTCGGATATCGCGCCACAATCGGGCGCTGCGGACGAAAAGGGTATGTACGGCGTACGCGCACGGCGCACCGTGACGTTCTATCGGAATATAACTCACTCACCAGGAGGTTCACGTCTTCTGGGTTCCCCTTTCGCTATGTTCCAGGTGCTAAGTATGTGATTGGCATTGCACAGCACAAATTCCGTCTAAGCACCCTACGCTTTGATGCCCAACACCCCGAGTCACTTCAAGTTGCGTGGCTCGGCGACGATCTTCTGCATGCGACAGGACCGACGGCAGACAGTATGCTACGACAAAATCCAAATGATATCGATCATGGCTCTGACCGCAGAGTCAGTTACTGTTTGAATGCTGTCGGTGGCCCCGGACAGTGGTCGGCTTAGACTAAGTTACTAGTACTATGCCACTGGAGCGCGTCTCGGGTGTTTTAGTGGTAGTACTATAGCTACCACAGCAGAGCAGTCACTGCAAGTCCGGCACAGATGTAACATCTCCCTTCATACCTCCTCACATCCAGGCTAACTTACTATCATGGTCAACAGAGTCGCCCATCTCCTACCCATCACCCCCGTTTCGCTCGTTATTTGATCCCACGGATGGCTCCTCACCGGGCCGTCCTCGTTCACGACATCTTGCTCGAAATATTCGACCATCTCCATTTACCACCGTCGACGAGCATTGACGACCAGAGAGATCGTCCGGCTCTTCTCAATACCGCGCTGACGTGCAAGAGGTTCCTGGATCCTGCATTGTCAATTTTGTGGCGAAGCATAGACGATTCCATCCCTCTTCTGGCTCTCTTCTCGTCCTTCCAGCCGGTCCCCCTCCCGGAACCCGAGCGGCGAAGTTCGTACTCGTATCACGCTACAGCCTATGTGAGTTTTCTATTTCTCCATGATGGCGAGATAGGTCCAGGGTCCCATATTGAATCATGAGGGTGGATGATTCTGGGATGCTGTTGTCCGTTACAGGCTTTGTCTCAGAAATGATCCTGAATTTATCTCGCTGTATAACGCAGTATAATTCTAACACACCGTGTCTGACAGATGTTCTGTGGAGACCTGCATGAATATGAGTGGCGAAGGTTCCGTGTCTACGCTGGTCGTGTCCACGCATTCACGAATGCAGGACAGCTGAATATCAGCCCGTCGGTCTTCCGTGAGCTTCTTCATATGAATGGTGACCGCCCGTTATTTCCTGCGCTGGACGAATTTCGGGGGAACATTCAACTAGTGCACGCAACCCCCAATCACTACGACATCGACGACACGGAGTTGGTGTCGGTCACGTCCCCCGCCCTGCGTCGGCTCGAGATCAGGCTGCACGACACAACTGGTCAGCTGCAGCCGCCCTTCCCAGTGTATGACGTCCCACATATCCTCCTCGAGAAGCTAAGCTCGAAGCTTCCACGCCTCGAGTGCCTGCGCATATTTTGCCGGGGCATTGGCCCACATCTCCCCACCTCCCGCGTGCTGTCTGCCGCGTCGATGTCTGCCTTCACGGAGCTGACCACCGTCGATGTTCTACGATGTCGCTCTGCGTGCACTCCGGACCTCCTTCGTCATCTCGCAACACTGCCTACCTTAGTCAATCTCTCGGCTGAGATCGGTGAAACAGACGGCGGCACTTCGATCGTCTTCTCGGGTTTCCCCTCGCTCCGCAGGCTGCACGTCAAAGGCACGGTCGACAGGGTGCTCGCGCTCATTGCGACTGTCAATTCGCCGTACGTCCGGGCTGTCCAAGTACAACACGTGCCAGAGGACGTCGGCCCGTACTTTGAACAAGAGTGGTGCAAGATGATCGACGCAATCGCCTCCCGCTTCGAAAGCTCCCTGCGCGAAATCAACCTCGCGACCTCCTTCCAATTCTGCGAATCGACGCAGCAAGGCCGCAGTGGGTTGCGCTTCCTGCGCGTCGTGCGTCCGCTGCTCGCTCTGCTGGAGCTGGAAAGCGTCATTTTTTCCTGGGACATCGAGCGCACGCGCCTCGATATGCGTGACGAGGACGTACTCGAGATGGCCAACGCGTGGCCCAGGGTGAGGACGCTGGTGCTGCGTTTCGTGAACGGCTGGCAGCTCCCAGTGGAGACGCTTTCCCACTGGGCTCGGCTCTGTCCCTTACTCATTCGGCTCGTCTTGCCTGAACTCATGGATCGCGAGCACTCAACTGTTGAGTCATTCCCGGCGACGTCGCATGGGCTGCGCTATATTCAATTTGAATATGAGCCCCGTTCAGAACGCACGACGAGGATACTCGACCGGCTGTTTCCAAATCTGGACACAGCGGATAACCGGCCGAGCAGAAAACTGCTAGGATGGACGCAAGTTTGACAATTCCAGCAAGAACGACGGACTGCGAGATCCATGTGAACGGTTGTCCGTTGGTTGGGCCGTTGTATCACTTGCATGCCACATATGATGTCGGGGGCACAGACGGCGGTTCAAGTTTTGCTTTGTTTGACACAGTCCTATATGTCATCACATCTCGGATTGTTTTGCCAGCCTCCGTTAGATGTCTTGTTGAAGCGTACACTGTAGTCAGAAACGAAGCCCGGTATTACACTCTGAATGGGTCATAATTAGTGGCTTCACTCACACTTCGCAAACAGAGCGATGCAGCGACGCGGTGACAACGTATGCTCTCTATGACGTCCCTGGAGCTAGTTTCTTCAAATTTTCGATACCATCTTCTTCGAGCCTCATCCCCATCCACTCCGACATGGCTGCTGCGCCCAGCTTCTTCTCGTAGAAATCGATTGAGGGCTGGTTCCACTGGCAGACGCAAGGTTGTCACTTTCTGTAATTCACTACGCGCATTGCGCCACTTACCTTGAGCACAGACCAGTCCATACGCGCACAATTCTGCACATAGGCATCAAGTTATGATCTCTCTTCAACGGCACAGCAAACTCGACGTTACCTTCTCTTGCGCGACTTTGGCCAATTCTGCGAAAAGTGCCTTTCCTACGCCCTTTCCACGATAACTTTCATCGACAAACAGGTCCTCGAGCTGCATCTCCAGTCAGCAATCAGTGTATGGCTCAGCACGAAGTACTCACGTAAAGACCCGGTCTGCCGGTCCACGTCGAATAGTTGAAGAAGTACATCGCCATTCCTATCGCCGTTTCTGGCGACTCCGGCGTTCCCGCAAACGCTAGAAGCGTGTGCGC